CCTCACCAATTTACAATTGAATTGACAAGATGTAACAGTAAGTGTTATTCTAACAGTTTGCCGGCCTCACGTTTTCAACTGACTTGAAGTGGAACAACTACATTGAATCAATAGCTGCATCTACTGCAAGGAAATTTGTTCATTGTGCCATGCCAGAAGGTTTTCCTCGTCACTCTTGCACATTTAAAAATCTACAATTCGTCTTTGCATTGAATACTATTGCCATATCTGATCTGGAACTCCTACTGTTCATCTCAAGGTTCTTGACAAAATCCAAAGAAGGATCTGTAACGTAATCGATCCTGACTTGGCCTCTCGACTTCAGTCACTTTCTCACAGACGTGATGTGACTTCCTTCCGTCTCTTCTACAAATATGTTTATGGCAACTGCTCAACGATTTTTTTTTTCTGGTGCCTCGACAACATGAATCTAGGTCCCACCCTTTTACTGTTGAAATAGTTAAATGTAATCGCCACTTCTACTCCAACAGTTTCTTTTCTCGCACTTACCGACGGTGGAAATCTTTTCCGCTGACTTGCTTCCCTGATAACTACAATCTACAAAAATTTAAATGCAATGTCAACTGCCATTTTCTGTTGTCTTGAACGCCGTTCATCGTTTACCCTTTCCTCAATCCTCACTATGCTCAAACTCTCACTTTCACTCTCTGTAACCTCCTGCATACTAGTGGCATTCCCGTTTTGCTGGGGTTGAAATGATTAATATAAATTATCGCTTGTGAAAATCCCTTCCGGCTTTATGCTTTCCAGCCAACTTTGATTTTCAAAAATTTAAATGCGATGTCAATCTTTATCTTTTATCTTCTTGATTTCTATTCTTTTATTGATCTCTCTCCTTAACGATGCTTTTATTGATCTCGTATTTTTTCACAGGCAGTAATCCCCTTATGTCTTAGTGGCTTTACTACCTTGTTTGGGGTGAAATGCATAAAAAAATAATGATAAGAATACAGTTTTAATAAATGCTTATTTTTATGTGTAAAAGTGCTCGATATCAGATACCGTATGTAAATATAAAAGTGGTCACTGAGAACAACAACGAGCAGGGACATTCGTGAAGTTTTGAGATTTTTACGGGAGATGCATCTATTCATTTCAAAGAAGCAAAAACCTCTAACTTCCTACAAAGTAAGATCCATTGATTCAATGTACATTTTATTGCACTCCAACTGCTTTCTGAAAGTCCCCCTGTCAGTCATCCAATGTGAACATGTGCGGGATCATTATCACAGCCTCCTTTGTCATATATATATATATATATATATATATATATATATATATATATATATATATATATTGAGGCATATATATATATATTGAGGCATGTGCTATTAATTGTAATGTGCTTAATAACCATTCTTTCTGTTTTTCATGTTTCTCGAAAGTTTCTTTATATTTTGCTAATATATATATATATATATATATATATATATATATATATATAAAGACATTTTTATGTTTTAAACATTCTTTTTATAGATACAAATATTAAGTGTAATGATCTGTTTATAATAAACAGTATTAAACATTTACCGTCCTGAATGTCCGAAAAATTTTCATAGAAAACATTCGTCCTCCGACAGGAATCGAACCTGTATCCTGTAGGGAAACGTCATATAGACTGACGTGCCTTTAAACGATTTCTGACACACACACACACACATATATATATATATATATATATATATATATATATATATAGAGAGAGAGAGAGAGAGACAGACAGACAGACAGAAAGAAAGAAAGAAAGAAAGACAGAGAGAGAGGATGTGGTGGGTAAATTAACGCTATTTTATAATTTTGGTTTCGCGCATTCGCGTTGGTTGTTTTAGGATTTTGTCGGCTGCATAGAATAAAAGGATCAGGTGTGAATCGTCTGTGACCAAAAGAGTACAATGATGTTAGTCACTCCACCAGAAATTTGGAAAAATAGTATTCTACTGCTTCTGCTTTCGTACCGGAAGCACCAATACGAACATTTCAGAATGTCTGAGTGGCAATCTGAGGGCGATTAGAAATGAGTTGGATGAGTTTAATGGTGATGACGAAGGTACGGCAGCTCGGAAAATTCACTCTGATAGTTCTGATGAGAAAAGAACTCTCGAATTTGTTGGTGAGGACCTCAGACTCAACACGGAGACTTACATCAAGTTCCTTGAGGATGTAATGCTGCTCTGGGTCAAGAGGGTGGCTACTGGAGAATTCTATATTTGACAACAGGACTCTGGACCATGCCACACAAGCGAGTGAACCCACTCATGGCTGTCAAACAATTTCTGCGACCACATCGTCCCTTACATCTGGCCACCTAACTTCTCAGACTTCAACCCCCTTAATTATTATTTGTGGAGTGCAGTTGAGCAAGAGACCAACAAAACTTCTTATAACACCACAGATGAAGTGAAGGCAAGGATCATGGCAGCATTCAACAACTTAAATAAGGAGAACGTACAGAAAAGTTGCAAGAGTTTCCGAAGTCATCTGGAGGCCGTGGTTGAAGCCAATATAGATTTTATTGTATAAATTTAGGTAAATATATCTGTCAAAATGTCAGTGTTATTTTCGTTTTTGCGTCATTTAGACGACAATTTCGTACCCTCTATTTATGTATTTGGGCAGTAATCGCTTTTTCATAAAAGCATTGTTAAAAACGATTGGACTACTCCGGAAAAAAAAGTTATGATTAAATAAAAAACTTAACAGCAGTTCCGTGCCAATCGTTTATATATATATATATATATTTATTAAAGACATTTTTATGTTTAACGTTGTTTTTATAGATACAAGTATCTAAGTAAATGCTCTGTTTATAATAAACAGTATTAAATAACATTTACCGGCCTGAATGTTCGAGAAATTTTCATAGGAAATATTCGTTCTTTGACAGGATTCGAACCTGCATCCTATACGGAACCGTCATTTACGCTGACGTGCCTTAACCGACTCGGCCACAAACTTGCTACCGAACGCTCCTTTGCTTAAGTTTATATAATATATAATAATATACATAAACACTCATATGCGTGTATGTGAGTCTGAGAACCAGGCTCTATCCCATCGTAGATTTTTTGTCTGTTTTTTAGCCATTTATTTTATGATTGATTATATTGATTATATTGATCATGCAGTATGGGAGAGAAATCACGAAGAAGGGTTAATATTGAATAATTCCTTTATTTCTTGTTTTATATTTACGATAACATTGCAATCTATATTGTATACGTCTGTCTAGTCTTATTAAAATTCCAGAACCCTTTATGACATTTGACCCACGCTGTACTTTCCCCGGCCGTTATCGATGTTCGACCCCAAATAAAAGCATAATTATCAGTTCGCCTTATAAATAAATTTGATTATGAGTGGGGGCAATTTTAATGATGAATATATCATCGAAACTCTTAATCACACGTAGCAGATTAGAATAAATTCGACGTACACTAACATACCTTATTTTTTTTGAACGGAAGTAGTGGCGTACATCGTGGATTGAAGGTGAAATGTTGTTCTCCATCGTGACAACGTAAGGTCGCATACTGAAAAAATAACAGAGGAAATCATTTTCTAACTCTGTTGATCTGCTCCAGCCGAATATTATCTATATTCCCCTGATCTTGAAGCAAACGAATTTTTTTAAGTAAAATGAATTATTTTGATGGTGAAAACTTTCTCCAACGAAATCTCAAGTGGTCATCGAAAACTTTTTCACATCAACACTTGCAGAATTTTACACAAAAATTATCGAAAAGCTCCCTAATAGGTGACAAAACGACATTGCAAATATTGTTGCACTTATGGACACCTCGACCTGGTGTAATGGTTAGAAAGCATCAATTACGATTGAGTAGTGAGTTCGAACCTTACTGGGTACCCCATACTTTCGGCTTTGTGCCACATCTAAGCCGGGCTTAGAAAATCGCGATAATGTTGAACATATAATTGAATAAAACGTAATTGTAATATAATTTTGATGAACATTATTGATAAAGAAATTATTTAGGAGTCAGAAGCCGATACTAATGGTAGACGACATTAAGCACCCGAAAAACATGTCCTTGGTATAATTCTACTACGTTTGTATTCTATTTACATTATTCGGACTATTGTCTTCATCTTTGTCGCCATATTTATTACAACGTTCCGGCCGTTGTAAACTCCGACCTTCTTCAGGTGGTTGGAATGTCGAAATGAACCCTATTTCGCTCACTTGGGTAGACTTTTCTAATTCCACGTGCCATGTTTAATGGATGTCAGTTATCAGTTATCTCCTGTTAATTCCCTCTCCAAGTTCTCCACCGCCTTACCCAGGTATTGAACTCACACTCTTTGGGTCCTGTCACTGGATCTAACTAATGCTTTTATTGACTGCACCATGTGTCCTTGGGGAGGTTTGTATTCTTGATAATATTCAGTACTTCCATGGCATTATGAAAGTTTTCTCACGATACATTCTTTCAAAACGTAGCAAATAATTTAATATACGCACCGTCATCATTTTTTAGAACTTCCGCCGTTAAACAAACTCTCACACTGAATCCTTTACAACATTATAAAATTACGCGCACAAGTTACAGAAAATAATCCTCTTGGATAAACGTTAAAGCATCCTCCTTAATCCTTTTGCGTATTACCTGGCGAATGCCGATTTCCGGTATCTTCATCCATTAGACTAGAGAGTACATTCGGAGACTAAAATTTTATTAATAAAGCCACCCAACCGGAACGGTGTGTGTTTTATTTTTTCTCCCGATTTTCATTTTATTCTTTGAAACCCACCTATAACCAAGCAAGTCGTTATCAGAACAGATGTCGCTCGTAATGGCAAATAATCTTACACCTGCCCCCTGCTCCGACCTAAACCCCGCGGCCTTGCAACGCTGACCAAATAAATTGATCAATTGGAAATGATGGGGCGAGTCGGGAATGAACGGACGACATCATTCTGCCGACTGCGTCATCAAGGACATAATTTCAGCAATTTATTACCCTTTTAAGAATATTAACTCTTGATGCCACGAGGTGGCGCCACAGGAAGCCAATGAGCTCACCGCTACAGTTTTGAAGTAAGTAGAAAGAAAGAAAGAAAGAAAGAAAGAAAGAAAGAAAGAAAGAAAGAAAGAAAGAAATAGAAAGAAAGATGACGGAGAACTAAAATCGGAAAAAAGTGCAGAATAAAGACGGTAGAGTAGGAATAAATGAAAAGCATTAAAAAGGGAAAATGAAAGAGACAGAGGGGAAAGCGTTAGAAGCTTGAGAGATCGAAGAAGATATAAAGAGAAAGACGAAAATAAAGAAAAAAAGAAAGAAAAGGAGGTTAGAAGAAAAGAAAAGAAGCGATCAAAAAAGAGAAACGTAATCAGAATAAAAACATAAATGAATGAATAGACAGGTCATGATAGCTGAAAAGAAGAGAAATGGTGACAGAGAAAGAGAGGTAAATAAAAGGAAAATAGAAAGCGAAAGAGAATAAAAAGTGACTGAAAGAGAGAGAGAAGAAGAAGAAGAAGAAGAAGAAGAAGAAGAAGCAGAAGAAGAAGAAGAAGTAGCAGTAAGCTGAAACTGTTGTTGAGATTCAAAGATGGCGAAGAAAAGGGCGCTAAAAAGGAAATATGTGTAAAAACGAATATTAAATAATGAAGGAGAAAATAGACAGTGATAAAAATGAAACAAATATATCGACTGAATAGACAAGAGAGAGGCATTTATGGGGGTTGACATAACCAGCAACACTGACACAAACAAATAACCCGGAAAGAGAAAGATAAAATGGTGGAATCTGAAGAAAAAATGAGTAATATTTAAAATGATAAAAGAAATTAACAGAACCGCCGTAAGAAAAGAAGTTAGAAGTGAAAATAAAAAAAAAACATTTGAAACAAATAGTTTTAGTTAGCAATAAAATAAAATAAAATGCATCGCAAAGATTTCAATAAATTTTTTAACTGCTTCCGTCGAAATTTGTCATTCAGCGATCGGATCCTGTGAAACGTTGTGCTTGCATGAGGGTAAACATAAACAGATATTTGCACAGTTTATCTTAGCGGAATACGAACTCGAATCTGAGCGGAAAAATATGAGAAAGAAGATTGTGTTACACCAATCCTCTCATGTGCAAAGAACATTCAAGCGTCCAAAATTTACATATATGAATTTCATCTGGGCTTGAAAAGCGACCTCTACCACTAGGAGCAAATATCTAAATAAGCTTTATTTTGAAAAAGCTCCTTCATCAGAACGAAGACTGTTCTTCACTTCACATACAGGAATATAGTAATCGAAAAGCATAAATGTATTTCCAAAGCATCTTCTTCTATGTGCCGTGTCCTTTCAGGAAGTGGGCTGTCATGGCTCACCATAGGTTCCTATCTTTTGAAGTTCTAAGCAATGTTTGTCATTTTACTGTTCTGCCCCCAGCCTTGCCGTCCATTTACACAATATAAGTATGTCTGTCGCTGGTTTTCTTCTGTCCTTTTTGCCTACACAATGTCCCATGAGTGTCACAATCTTCAAGCCCTTTTCCATCATGATGAAATTCCAACTGTATCTTTCTAATTTTATTTATATTGCTCTTTTTGTTTCATTTTTTTTCCTTAAAACCTACTCCCTTCATGGTATTCTTTTTTGTGTTGCCTGTTGATAGCAGTGAATGATATCTGTCCGGTTTTTTCAATCGGACTGCGATCGCCAATCGTTTCGTTTCGGTAATGAAAGACTTCAACACAGAGAATTTTAACTTGTTTTTATTACTCATGGTGACATGTATTTTTTCTAACTAGCCAGTGGATGTCGCTCTCCACTCTTTGGGGAGCCGTTTCAGACACAAAAGAGAATACGTCTACATCTCTTGAGGAGTGAGAACCCATTCGGTAAAACCTTTTTCTCCTATCTCTTTCGCACGATAGCTCAGCCAATCAAAATCGGCATCCCTATTATGGTTCATACCTGATTCTACTGTCAACTTCTGGAAGTTGGAGCCGAGATACAGTTTAACAAAAATAATAGTCTGCTAAACTTTACCTCAAGTAATTACTTCACCTGAAAGCAAATTGTTCAGCATTCACTGCCATACTGAAGGACTGATATTACATGCAGTAGACCATTCCTTTCTTTGATTCTAATGAAGTTTTCTTCTTTTTAATAGTCTCTTTATTTTTTAAAGACATCTTTGCTAATCCAATGCACCTTCGGATTTCGGTGTCATATTTTCAATCCTCTGTTAAAACATATGCCAGATAAATTTATGTATTTATGTAAAATCGTAGTTCGTATTTTCGGTTTTTCCTCCTGCTAAAATTATAGCTTCTGTCTTCTTACAAATCATAGTCCTTTCTTTTCACGTTCCTTTACGACTTCGTTCCTGCAGTTTTCTTTCTGTGTCTACCATCAATAGATCAACACATCTGCATATGTTATATAGATAAGATTTTTACTCACCGATATATATTTGTAGAACCTCTACTTCTCTTAGGATTACATTGTTGCAAAGGTTAAATAAATGCGGTGTGAAGACAGATAATTGTCTTACGCAAATTTATATTCTTATGCAATTACTCGATTAATTATCTCAATTAACATGCTGGCCGTTTGCTACCAGTATAGGTTCTGGATTATTTGAATATCTTTTCAAAATAATCCAAGTTATACTTAAAATAATTCTTTGTGTCGTACCTTATCAATTTTTTGTATAGTCTATGAAACATAGATATACGTCCTTCTGCATTTGTATCGCTTTCTCTAATATGCTTATCCTAAAGATTACATTTATTGTTGCAGTACCTTTAAAAAACCTATCTAATTCTGCTACGTATTCCATTCATGGGAATTCGGATAATCTTGGTTATATCGCTCATTAAGGTTATTTATCGACCGATGGATCTCGCATTTATTTTTACTTGATTTCTTAGGCACTACTACGAAGATTGAGGTACTGAGCGCTTCCGGTATCTCACCACTGTCGTATATTTCAGTTATAATTTCAGTAATTTTTCTCTCATTTTTTTTATCATATCTATTACAATCTCTTCAATTTCTGCTGTTTTTTTTCTGTTCATCTTGACTAGTTTGATCTTATTTCAGACTTTAAAATTTGAGTATATTCCATGGTTGTGTGTATTGCAGGTTTATCTCTATTGTCGTGAAAGAGGTTGCAATTCTATTCGTACCAACTCTGAATATTTTCCCTTTTTTTTTCTATTAGGACTGTCTTCTTTTTCATCCTGTCGAGGAGTACGTCTTTCGCCTATTATTTTTTTTTTATTCCTTTATTTATTCTTGCCTTATCTGTAATGAACATTCTTTCTAACTCTTCCCACTTTTCACTGGGTGTCCTAGGTAAGACGATAAACTACATCCGCGTCCTGAGTAAGACGATAAACTACATCCAACAGCAAGGCCTCTGATTTGGGAGATTTTGAGGTGGGAGGAACCACTTCTTATTTCCTGGTGTTCCCAGATCCACCCTGACCTGGGGTGGTAACACCTGTTAGGGTCCAAGATATGGCCAAATAGTTAATCTCTAAACTGGGGTCAAAATACTATGAAAGTGTAAAAATAGGTTTTAATACCGGCAATACATTTTTTCAAAAAAATATTACCAGCAATATATTTTTGAAAAAATGATTGCCAGAAATATTTTTTTTAAAAAAAGAAATATTGCCAGAAGTATTATTGTTTGAAAAAATTATTACCATAAAAAAATGTTGTCGGCAGTAAATAACCCATTGAGAGTGATATGCCGTAAAACAAAACAAACCAAATCAAACCAAACTTTTCATTGGCCTTTCAAAACTTGGTGCCATATAAAATTGTATGAAGAAAAATCTGTACTAATCTTTCTAGTAAGAAGGACTTGTGTCACTTAAAAAATAGTATTCAAAATTTTGAAGAACGTAGTCGGTGGACCATCCCAAACTAAACCCCTTTTTATTTATACCAGGATAATGTTTATCCTAGTTCAGAATAACTTTGAGGAATCACATGATCTTACTTCCAACCTTGGGGTATAATATAGTGTAATTTAAATTATACAAAAATAAGGCGGTTAATACTTCTTTTTATTTTTTTATGAACGGCAATTTTTCATAGCGAAAATGTTGTGTTGCCTTCTGTGGGCAAACTGATATTAATAACTGATGATATGAGCTCTTTCAAACTCATGATCGGAGTTTCACTATGAGTTATACTTACCGTATAGTTCGACCCACAAACATAGGCTAGTCTACCAGGGACTCAAAACTGTGACCCGAAATTATTTTTTGACTTTGTTGTGTAGGAACCTACCACCCCTCTTGAAGATGAACTCGTCTACAAACAAGGACGTTAAATAGTGGCATGTCAAAAGTTCTTAGGCTGAGTTAGTTATAGTCTACTCAGGCGGTTTCTGTACCAACTTACCAACCGAATAAACCCCTTTTTATTGTTACATGTTATTTGGCGTTTGTCTTTATTAACCCCAAATTAACATCATAACAGTCTTAAAAACTCGTCCTAAAAAAAGTTAAACTTAAAAACTCGTCACAAAATCCTTTTTTAGGCTTGAAAACTCGTCGTAAAAAGATTTTATAAGCTTGAAACTCGTCCTAAAAAAAACTTTTAGTCTTGAAAATTCGTCCCATAATGATTTTTTAAGCTCGAAAACTCACCTCTAACAGATTTTTTAGATTTAAACACCCGTCCTAGAAACAATTTCTTAGGCTTGAAAAATCGTCCCAAGATTATTTAGGTTTGAAAACTCGTAGACAAAAAAAATTGGGGGATTGAAACTCGTTTTAAAAAGATTCTTTTCGGCTTGAAAACTCGTCACAAAAACATTTTTAGGCTTGGAAACTCGACTGAAAAATACTTTTTAGGTTTGAAAACCCGTGTTTCTATAAAGGGAACTAATACAACAGTTGGGTGAGTATTTAAAAAAGTGCTATAGGGTATGCAAAATTGTTTAAAATAATTATAGATTGTACACATAAAATAAAGGATGTCAAACACAAAAATGACCACTCATCAATCATTTGGACTCAAATTAATAGGAATCTAGAGGTTCACCTATTAATGCGCAAACCAAAGAATCGAAATAAAACTGAGGGCGTTAGAATGCATCTGCTGACGAGTGACACCGCATTATCCTATCATTTGTGGATAGATTAATATACATCTTGGAGGTATTTTCTCGTCTAGCCTATTTTATACCCGGGAGTATAAATTGACCACTTTATTCTTATTCTTCTACTATATGTGGTATCTCTTCAGGGCTTTGGTGATCCTACCTCTCTATAAATTTCTGTCTTTTGTATCTATCAAAATGTTTTATCTTTTCGCCATTTCTCCCAAAGCCTGCTCTGTCATCCATTCATTCAAATTCGCCAGGTAGGTTATACTTTACTTTCTTCTGACAATTTTGTCTGTAATCTGTCCTGTGAGTATCAAATTTCCAAGTCTTCTTTCCTCATTACGCGTCCTAGAAATTTCAAATGTCTCTTTCTGATTCAAGTATGAGTGTCTTCTTTTGTTTCGACTTTTGCTAAGATTTCGTTGTTGGTCATGGTATTCTAAGCATCTTTCTGTAGAACAACAATTCTTTCGACTCAGATTTCTTCATCACCTGTGCAGTGATGGCCCAGTATTCAATGTAATAAAATGGCTGTAGTGCCGCAATTTAGATATAAAAGTCGACAAAGCAACAACTTATTTTTAAGGGACTAAAAATACTGGGGTGTAGGTAAGAAATTATATTAATTATATTAATTTCCAAGTTATTTTTAATGTTGAATACTCAAAATAGTTATTTTCATTAATCTCTTCCTGGTGTTGAGTAGTCCCTTTTTGTTTCAATTGTCTCTAGAAAATGGTCGGTCTATGGTTTTCTAAGCATCCTTCTGTAGAATAACAATTCTGTTTCTTCAAGTCTCATCTTCATCTGTGAGGAGATTGTCCAGCATTCGAGACCATATAGGAGGACCGATATTACATAAAAGTTGAGTACACTATTTACATTATTCGTGTGAGTTCAATACCCCGTTAAGGCAGTGGAGAACTTGGAGAGGGGAATTAACAGGAGATAACTGATAACTGGCATCCATTAAACATGGCACGTGGAACTAGAACAGTCTACTCCAGTGAGCGAAATAAAGAGTTCAGTTCGACATTCTAACCACCTGAAGAAAGCAGGAGTGTAACAACGACCGGAACGTTGTAATAAATATAGCGACAAAGATGAGGACAATAGTCCGAATAATGTAAATAGTGTACATAATACCTCATCTAGGAAATATAGACAGAAATAGTTCAGTACTCTTTTCTTTGTTTCTGTCGCTTTAAGTTTCTTCTTCATCTGCAAGGAGATTGTGCAGCCTTTACAGCCATATAGGAGGAGTGATATTACATAACAGTACTTTTTACTTTGTTTCTAACGAAATTTTTCATGTCTAGCTTAGGATAACCCTGAGTATACACTAGGACTGTTACACGAGGGTAAATCTCTAAATACTTTACGATCATTAACTGTATAATTATTCTTCTATTATTCATTGATTATATTACGTCGCCAGCTGTTATGCACTAGCATTGTTGTAATTTCTCTGTAGGACAAGTTAAATAATTAATATATGCCTTCTTATTGAGACTAGTGTCCTTATCTTGGTTATTATGGTCTTAACGTTTCAGCTGTTGTACCCGGATGTTTTCAAGTGTCTCTCTCAACTGATAACCTTCTCAGTATTTTAAACTAAGCCCTTTCTTCAACTCAGTGGGTGAGAGTAATTTGTTTTCATTTCGTATTTGTTTCGTACTAATTAATATTAACCAGGTTATTTAAATTTGTGTCGCTCGTTCGTTTCTTACAGTAGAATATGGTAAATGACTTTTTCGTTCTACCAGACTCAGAGATTGAACTCACAAATCCCCGGAAACTGGGTATGTTTTAACGAACGGTTTAATCCACTAAACCAGGTGTCGGCAACCTACATGTAGCACGTCAAGCAATTTCCAATGACATCATGAAGTTCGAACCAATAAATCCTACAACATAAAGAAAATATTTAGCTGTTTCAATTTGAATATACGAATACTAAAGTATATATGCTATATATTACTATATAAAATATATTGTAGAACAGGTATATTGACCTTAGCTTGTATAAAAAAATACGTATGCTGTTGGAACACTGAATGATTTTAAAACCCCAAGTCGGCACCTCGCAAAAGGTTGCCGGCCCCTCGTCTAGAATATACTTTTTATAGATCGGCGCTACAAAATCAAAAAAGTTTTACCGAATATAAAAACCAAATCACTTGAAGGCTTCCATCAGTAGCAACAACTAAAATGAATAGTACTTTTTACCCGCAGAGAAAATTAATCAAGTGCTTGTCAATTCGAATAACCACAAGGAAGTTTTGAAAAAATGAGAAATATAACCTCTAAAAAATGGTCAATTCGAAACTGTATAAGTAATGGCAGTTTATATTGTTACTCTTGGACTATAGATTATTCTTTTAATGCTGAACCAGGATGATTTCAGAGGTATTTGGCACTATTTATTCTATATTTTTTACATAAGTAAAACCATAAATATTATGATTTTATTTATATGTGCTACTTGGAAGTGTTATTTAATTTTTTTAATTTTTTACTTGAAAGACCTGACTAATTTTTTTCCTGTCAATTTCGGCCGAAAAGAATAAAATCGTCGCATAGGAAGCTTAGAAACCTAAACTAGTTCCGATCCCGAAAAGTAATGCAAAGAGAAAAACAATAAAAGAAAGAAAATAAATAGTCTATCCCAAATGTTCTGGCAGGTCAACCGTTGGCATACTGAAACATCATCATTTTTTTTTTCTTGCGCTGCATCTCCAGATTATTCTCTGGACTTCAAGTGCAGAACTTCTTTTTAGAGGTATTTGACACTTTTCTTATTTATTTTCTGATTAAACAAAAGATTCATTACAAAACTCCACATCGACAAGTACCTGATGAAGGCCGAAGCACAAAACGACCAAAACGATGTAATCAGAACAGCAAAGAACAATAGTCCGCGTGTAAATAAGGCAAGTAATAATAATAGCGGTATATAAATAAATAACAGTATATAAATAATGTAATATGGCAATTTATTGACTCGTAAGGATACCCATCATTAGGCCAGTTAAGTTTCATTCTTTTGCTCTGTTGCACGCCGCAGTCGTATATTTCTGCGTGTCGTAAAATAGTATTACTGAAATTGTTGTAATTAAAGCAATTGGTCACGCTTAGGCTTTTTAGTGGTCGTTTATTTCATATACACTTTTTAGTATTATACATTTATATTAGTCAAATTTTTAAAAAATATGCTATCCAAAAATACGTCAAAATTATTCACTTCCAATTATACATCGCATACTCCGATTTATTTCCTAGTGGTGTTCTAATATTAAAGTGGTTCTTTTTCTATGTGCCATATTCTTTCAGGAATTTTTCGTATTTATGGCTCTCCACAATTTCCTCTCTTTTCTAGCTCTAATAAATTTTATCTTTTTATTACCTCTCCTAATCTATTTACACAAGCTTGCTGAGTATTTTTTGTTTCCTGTCCCTCTTGCCTTAAATATGTTCTGTGAGTGTCAAATTTTCCAAGCCCTTTTTCCTCATTATATGCCTTAGAAATTTCAACTGACTCTTTTTGATGTTAAATATCAGTGTCTTTTTTGCTTCTATTTTCTCTAAGACTTCGTCGTTGCTCACAGGTTCAGTCCATGTTATTCTCAGCATCCTTCGGTAAAATCAGATTTCGATAGCATCAAGTGATGGCCCAGCATTCAATGTAGGAGGACCGTACTGTAGCATTTATATGTATTAAGTCAACAACAGAAAAACTTATTTCTAAAGAATATAATATACCAGGTTCTATATAACGCAATATATGTAGTTTTAATATTATTTTAAAAAGTTCAATATGCAAAATAATTATTTTCACTAATATAAGAATATGTAATTTGTACAGGATAAAAAACTCATATTTGTAGATGTGAATTATACGTTTATTTACCGAAACAGTTTTACGTAATAATACCACGCACAAATAGACAAGATTATACATATTTATTTTTCATGTTTTCAAGCGAACACTCAATTAAACTGTATATATTTGATACAAAATATATCCTTGGTTTTCTCAATAATCTCTAAACTTAATATAGAACAATGGAGAAGATTTAGAGGCAAGTTAGTTATAAGTAAACACTA